ATGAATTTTTTTTTTCTTCATTAACTATAGTTGAATTCTAAAAATATGTGATAGTCGTACAGATTCTGTATACTTGCTGATTCCTAGTCCACATTAAAACGTTCTTAAATTGCAGAAATAAATGTTTGCTTAAAAGCCTTAAAATTAATCCACCTACCTATAATTTTAATGTATTCATCATTATGAAATGTATTTTAACAAATCATTTTTTTAGCAATGGGCAAGGTTTAGTCATTGATGATTATGAATGCTTTCCTGAGAAATGATTTTGTTTTAAAGAAATATACAATCTATCCCCTGGGGTACTAAAAAGAATATATACTCAAATACAGTGACAGTGAATTAATTGCTAGAAGAAGCCACCCAGAAGTGACACTGCTTACTATTTATTTTTTTGATTTGTTTAAACTAATAAATTAACCTATTAAGTCCATGTTGGTCTGAGACTCTGAGGTATAAATATTAAACAGAACTGCGAAGAGACTTCTTCCCGAGTGAACATCAACTCTATAATAATTTATATAGCAGCTCTCCTCATACTCTTTCGAAATAGGTTGCGAAGGGTGCACATATGCATAATAGCCTCTTTCAAAGCAAAAGAAACCACACCAACTAGTGTTGGCGTGTGAATTTAGAGAATAGTTAATGATTTAAGCCTAAACCAAATTGATTATCAGATAAAATATTATTTACAAAAATACTGGGAAGAATACGTTTGAGTATGTACTATGTATGGGTCTTTCTAGTAGGTACTTAGGTAAAAAAAAAGGTAATCAACTCAATTAAGCTGATCGGTATGGTAAGAACTAAGGAGTTACAGATTCAAGAGGTTTGTTAAGCTTTGGGATTAATATAATTATAGAGAATTTCTAAAGTAGTAGTAAATTGTAAGTAGGAAATTCATAAAATTGCATTGAATATGTGGGTAAGTACTAAGTAGAATAATATAATTAGAACGTTTTGGTAAGAATCTAGCTACTTTAGATGTAAAAAATTCTTTACAAATTGTAAGTGGGAGTGGTATCAAGGAACATTTAGGGTTTAGGCAGTATTTTTTACTATTTATGTTATCAGTACATCAGTCATGCATACAATTATGGTGGGGGGGGGGGCTTGGAATATCTTGCAATGATGATTTTTAAAATTTTAAATAATTCAACTTTCCAAGATCACATGAAGCAAAACTGCCATCGATTTCTTATCGGAGGGATTGTAGTTAAGTACTTAGGTATTTGCTTAGTTGATTTCCGAAGTTTTTAAAGAGGTTGTATTGGTGATTTAAAATAGAAAGGGAGTTTTTGCCCAATAATCTCTCAAATAAGCCCCCTCCAAAAATAATATACTATACTTATATCATTTTTAAGAAAATTTTTTCTCAAAATTATTTCCTAAATATTTTTCTTATCTGCGCTACTGATTATAATATTTTTATAAAACATTATATCACTGATGTTTGGCAATATATTTGATTAAATAAAATATTATAATATTATATTTAACATAAATATAAAACTTTGAATACCTAATTCAACAAGTAATAACAAATATACCAATAATCACAAATAAACGATTAGCGTAGGAATTAGGAAGTAACACAGGTAATTTGTAGGAACTAACCTATGTATTTGCTCATCAAATAGGTCTCGCATGGAACTTTGCCTAAGCTATATAAAAATTTAGGTGGCAGGTATACATTTTTATTTTTCATAGTGTACAAGGTGTGTCATAGTGCTCGCAAAAATAGCCACTGCTGCAATCGTTAGAAGAGATTAATCTGCATTCTGCGGTTGAGGCGTAGCAGGAAAGCCCATTTCTAAAAATTGTAAATACCAACAATACTGCAAATATTAAAATATATAGTAAAAATATAAATCATACTAGTCACAATTAAGTAGTAGGTAAATGCAATAAGCGTATAGGGCCTAATATAATTTATAATATAAAACTAAACTAGACATCTAGTATCTATAGCCATACAGCTATGCTGACGACGTCAGAAAGAATTTATCATTATATTAGAACTCAGCATATCCATTTGTTACTCAATTACGAAATACTTACGGAACTTTAATATGTCATTTAGCATGTTTGTGGGGTCCCAGAAACCAGTGATAAACGGGACCAAACCTCAAAGGACCTTCAAGTCTTCATAAAAAAAATACATATTTAAATGAAATGTCAATTTTTAAACATTTGCCCTACAACAGTGTTTTTCAACTTTTTCATGTATCCGAGCTATACCACCTACACAGTTTGAAAATTTTAGTACCGCTTTTTTTTGCATATCAAGTATGTATATTGTATTCGTTATTTTAATGTATAGAATTTTATTTTATTAGAAACTACATACTTATGATAATATAAGCATTTAATGCACAAAAAGAAAATTAAATATGTAGTTATTATTTTTATTATTATTATCAAATAAACCAAATAATGTTTAAGGTGTATAATCCATTCTTTTTTTTTTTAAATAAAGGAAGATTTTCTTCTTCTACCACATATGGGCTACGAGCTATCCAAATACCAGAATTGGTACCCACGATACTAGACCTGGTCTAGAAACAATATTAGGTATGCTGACTGATGGATCTTACTAATTGTTTTTAATTTAACATTTTTAATATCAATTGATAAAATTTCCAATTTATATTTAACTGCAAGTAATAACTATTAAGTATTATGTTATTTAAAAATATTTGAATCTTTTTTTTATTTTAACATCAATTGTAACATTTTGTAACTGTGCCGGACTGAATGTTAACATTTTAAGAAAGTCTTTTTAAAACGGCACAGTTACAAAATGTAATACAATAGGTATACCAGATACCAAAATATATAATAACTGGTGATTTCATATGCAACAGTATACTTAGATAAAGTAGATGAATTTTTATATTAGTTTATTGCGTATAATATATTTAACAATTGTTGTAAATTTCTATCTAACAATAAACACAACTGATTAAGCAGTTGAGCCTTGACTCTTGATTGATGAAACCGTTCAGTATTCATACTTAATGTTGTCAAGTGTCAATTTTAGTTGTTTCTTTGAAGGTCACAACACAATTTGGGTTTCCAATTTCTTCTGGGATGCAACCAAAGGATAGTTTGGATATAAGAGGAATATATAATAAACGGAAGTGTTTGTAGAAAGTTTTGGCAACTTTAGGTTGATGGGTAAATTATAATATAATTTGTAGATTTAATTATAACATAATTTAAAGGCTGAAGAGTAAATTAGAGTTCATTAGAACATTCTAAATTTTGTTTTGATAACTTAATTTTTACTAACTACGGACCACAGTTAATTTTAATTTTAATCTATGGTTTTAACTTAAAAAATTTGTCACATTCCAGTCTACTATGACAAGATTTTTTTTTTTCAACTAAGTAGAATGTTTAATTTTTTGTCCAAGATTGTATAATGTAAGTAGTGGCGTAAACTGGAGGAGGCAAGGGGTTGCACTTGACCCCAGATATTTCTGAAATTAGAAGTCACTTTAAATCTTTGAACATATTATTTGTCATAATTCATAAATAAAATTTATATACAGGGTGATTTTTTAAGCATGCTCACCCCATTTTTATGCTCAAATCATATACATTCAAATTTTGATTTTTGGAATTTTTAAGGGTAGTTTAATACAATATTTTCGTTTACTTAGATTTTTCACATTTAAGGATTATCCTGTGGCAATACCAACTTTTGTTTTTCAAATGACAAACTATATAATTTAAGAGGACGCCACAACCGCATGCATTGTCTCCGTCTTACAAACGAGTAACATACCAAATTTACGCTCAGCAGTTCAAGTTTTATGACGTTAGCTTAAAAATTAGACTGAATTAACCTATTATGAAACTTGATGGTAAGAACTTTATCCGTGTTTTGTTGGAAGTTTTTTTACGATACTTCAGTTTTTAAGCGAGGTATGCTTGTATAATAAATGTAAACTAAAAATGCTCATAACTCACTTAAAAACTGAATTATTGTAAAAAAACGTCCAACAAAACACAGATAAAGTTCTCACCATCAAGTTTCATAATAGGTTAATTCACTCTAATTTCTAAGCTAACGGCATAAAACTTGAACTGCTGAGCTTAAATTTGGTATGTAACTCATTTGTAAGACGGAGACAACGCATGCAGGTGTGGTTTCCTCTTAAGGCAAAATGTGATCTGATATTTTGGCATATTGTAATCGAAATTTGAACAAAAACTTCCTTAGTTATCCTTCTTTAAACACTAAGGAATAAGGATAGTAATATATCAAATACTAAATACTTTGTGAATGGATACAAGCTCGATCTTACAACTCGGTTAGGTAGTAATTATTAATGAATATCTTATATTGCATACCAAATTATAATTATCAAGCTCATATCCATTTTACAATGCTAAGAATTTTAGTATAATAGTCTATCTATTATCCTTATTCCTTAGTATTTAAAGAAGATAACTAAGGAAGTTTTTGTTAAAATTTCGATTACAATACGTCAACATTTCCAAAAAAATTATCTGAATCACATGAAGTTGGTATTGCCACAGGATAATCCTTAAATGTTATGAAAAATCTAAGTACATGAAAATATCGTATTTAACTACACTTAAAAATTCCAAAAATCAGAATTTGAATATATGCATAATTTAAACATAAGAATCATGCTTAAAAAATCACCCTGTATATTATATTTAATTGGCTTAAGTAAATAGTGTCCAAATCAGCAAAAAAATTGTTGGTCATATTGCAGCCCCACAGATATGAGATATATTGAGAACTTTTGCAGTTTCCAAAATTTGGTCCAACTTACACCACTGAATATAAGCTATGTATTGGTTTGTGTATACATACAAATATCATGAAAAATGATTATGTAATGGTAAAATTTAATTTATTTTTTTATAACTGTGCAAAATTATTTAGTGTTAAGTATAATAATTAGAATATATAAACATCATCAATATAAGTATTGTGTATAATAATAATACCATATACATAGAATTATATTTCATTTTTTATTTTTTCTATTTTTATGGATAGCATGAAATCTACTTTTAAATGAGTACATTAAAGAACGTAAAAATGTTTGGTGTTTAATTATTTACCATTAAACAATATTCTAAAAAATGGCACTAACTGAAATTACATTTATGCTTTTGCAGCTAATGCTTGTAAATCAACCATGCATTTTTTAAAACTTTGTTTTTCTTGTTCATTTGTTAAAGACTTCAGAACATTTTCAATGATCCAGTTAACCATATGTCTTTGTTGTACAGTGCGTGTCAAGTTAGCCAAATCCAATTGATAATCCAAACGCCTTTTTACCTTTCAATAAAATAAAATATTATAGATACTAATGAAATACTTTTATACTATTTAACATAATACCTGGTTGTAGGCTTGAAGAGCTCGTTCACGGTAAATAGCTTCTAACTGAATAGCTACATTCTCCCGTTTTGCTTGAATTACATGTTGTTGAGCTTCAGTTCTCCATACTTCTTTCTTTTGGTTCTCAATGCTTTCCGTTAAGCCATCAATTTCACCTTTACGACTGGCATTACAAGATTCTTCATATTCCTAAATAAAATAAGATATATTAGTTAGTTATTAACTTTCAACAATTTAATAAAAATAATTGCTACAATCGATACATACATCAATTTCTTTATCAAGGAAATCAGCTAAAGATGCTCCAAATTTTTTCCATCCAACATAGAATAAACCAATAGTAGCTAATACATAAGGAAATTCATGTTCAACCACCCATATTTCTTTACTTAATACATAAGTTGTGATACCAGCAGCAAGAACATATGGACCTAGAGAACAATTTAATTTTCATGAAGTTGTAATACAATTTCAATAACATTCACATAAAAAATATCAAAAAATAAATAGTTATAAAAACTTTAAAATGTTTAGTTAATGATGTCTTTTAGAATATACAAGGTAGTTCACCAAGCATGCTAACCCCCTTTCCTTTCCCCATTTAATTAATTAAGAATTTTAACAAATTCTGATTTTTGTAATTTTTAAATATACTCAAAGACCTACTTAAGATGTGTCTTATGGTGATACAAATTTCTGTTATTCAAATTAGAGCCCCCGTCTTTTACTGTAAATTAATTAGTGGATAGTTTGTTGATATACACATTCAAAATTCAAATGAGTAGTTTTTTAGTCATTAAAATAATTGCATTTAGAATAATAGTCCTTAAAATTGGTTCTACGTAAACATAACTTAGACGTGAAAAAAGGATCTAGTATTTATATTACAATTGGGGGGTATTTTTAAAAATTATTAATACCGATAGATTAATATTGAAGACATATCTTATAAACTCATTACTATGGACTTCTGAAATTATCTTCTGTACAGTTTATAGTTGATTAGGGGTGTTTTTATTTGAAAAACAGAAGTTTGTATCTCCAGAGAACACTCCTTAAGTAGTACAAAAAATCTCAAAAATTTGGAAATATGGTCTTAAAGAATTTTTAAAAATTAAAAAAAATCAGAACATTTTTTTCTTGCATACTAAAATTATGCACAGAAATTGTGTTAATGATCAAGACAAATCAGTAAAGGTAATAATGCAGATATATTATGTATTTAAGGGTCATCATAACTGCATGTGTTATTTTTATATTTCATAGATAACTTGTGTTTAGCAGATCCAATTGTGTGTTGTTAGCCTTATTATTAGTGTGAATAGTTATTTGACCTAGTACCTATAATCTAACCTTAAGTTAATATTGTATTATTATTGGTGTTTGTTTTTTGGATTTTAACAATATTTTAAATTATTAATAAGTCGATTTTACAAGTGACTTTATGAATATGTAAAATAAATAATACAAATAAAATATAATGTTCATAACTAGCTTAAAAATTCCATTCAGCAAACATTGTTTATGTTCTTACCTTAAAGTTTGCTAAAAGGTTAATTCACTCTAATATTAAAACTAACCACATACATTTGCAACAAAGATAATATTTGAGGGTGTGATGCCCTCTTAAGTATTTTGTAAACTACATATTATTCATTTAAGATTTACAGTTTAAATAAGTAATCCCATGTTAACCAACAAACTAGAAATGATGCTTGGTTTACAAATTCTAAAAAGTAAAAAAATTTTTCTGGATATAAAAATTTAGCTTCAGTTATTAATAACTAGAAATCGGATGTTGATAATATATATTATATCTGTATTAATTAGTCTTATATGAATAACAAGGAAAATACTATGGGGAAAAAATTGTTATATATTGTTACTTTAGAGGACACCCTTTTTTGCAAATTTTTTTTTAAAGACTCGTGTAATTATCCAAACTGAAAACAATGGTGATGTCAGAATTCGGCAGCCGACTAAGCTTCGAAATAATTGCCTAATGAAGTTCGGTATTATGCAATTTTTAATCATTTGTGCATCACTCTAGTTCAGCGGTTCCCAAACTTTTACGACCACGGCACCCTTAAAAAATTGTTTGTGTTTCGTGGAACCCTAATGTCTAATCCAACTCAACTACAATTTTTCTAAATACAAAAAGGAAAATTAATTCTCTAAACTCTCAAGTCTAAATGATACTTTTATGATGCTGTTAATGACTTTTCATTATTAAACTTAGTTTTAAAAAAAATTTTCAATCAAAAATATTCTAAATAACAAACATTGAAAAAACATAATTTTCTCAATAATCTCATACATCTGGCGGAACCCTTGACATAGTCCCACGGAACCCTAAGGTTCCACGAAACACACTTTGGGAAACGCTGCTCTAGTTAACTGTGCTTATGTTTTTTCTACGTTGGACTTGTGTAATATTTATTCTTTGATTAAAGCCAATGTTTGGCGACTCGATCCAGTAGGCAAAGGGAGTCACTATATACTTGGATTACTCATATTTTATAGTGAAACTTAAGTGTATAACATAGTTCTACATACACCTATAAAAAAATTTGCAAAAACAAGTGTCCAGTTAAGAACCAAAGTTCCTAAAAATGTACAACATACAAATGGGTAACGTTGTATATCATTACCAGTGACTCCAGTCTTTTTGTAAAATACTTCAAACCATTCTTCGGGCACGAACAAATATCTAGTTTTAGCTGGTTACTCCAACCTTACCATTCTGGGAAAATTCACCAGATCACGTTCAGGTCCATCAAATGGATTCGGTTGAGGTAGGCCATTAGGTTTTGGGAACCCCGGTACAATGATTGATTCATTAGTGGAAGAGACTGCTGGTTTGGTTTGTGTGGTGCGCACAGCATTAGCACATAGTGGTGCTACTCGGAACAGTTCTGTAAAAACCACATTTCAACAAAACTATTTTAATATGGAATGTAAAGAATATTTACCTGAACGTAGAGCTAATCTGGACAACATGGTTTGTTTTTTGCTTGTGGCTTGACTTTAGATGGATAAACCAATCTTGAACTCGCAAAAACAATGATGGACGATGCGAATGATGGTGTACGGGTAAATTGGTAAAATGATATTAGAAATTTCGGTAAGGTCAATAACGATACGATGGAAAACAGCTGTTTAAATTTTAAAACCTGCTTAAATATGAATGCATCAAGATAGATAAGACTTCTAGTCTGTCCATGATTAAAATACGAGTACCACACTACCACTGTTAAAGCACAGATTATAATATGAAAAATAAATTCTGTGGTTATAGATTTATTAATAATAATCTATAATCAACAATTGCGGTGAATACTTAATTTAAATAATTTTTACTTCATTCTTTACAAAGAAAATACTTTACAAATTACAATATGTATTGGCGAGGCTTATCAAGTTTTAGGCCGACGGGGAGTGGCTTGTGAAAAATAACATATACACAGCGTCCCCGTTACAGCAGCTTTTTATATCTTTCTAAGTTTCTAACACTCCATTGCCAATAGGTTGACCAATAACCACAATTTAAGATATAACTCAGATTAAATAAAATTGGAATTGTCCCAAAATATTCCGCCCTACAAGCCGACGCACAACTGGTAGTTTGTACCATGGTTGTTGACAAAACATCTATTTGGTCATAGTTGGTAGTGTTGGTACCATAATTTTAAATGACGCGCTAAAATCTATCTCAGTCCGTACCTAAGGCGCTATACTAGGTCGAGTCCAGGACAATAATTGGTATATGTATATTGTATACTAATTAGGTCCTACACTTACACTAACCTGTAGCACTGTTCAGTGCTTGTAGAAACTCAGTTTCTGTGTGTGAACAATACATACATCTATAGGCTAATGGCTGAAATATACTGTCATTAAGCCCGCGAATTAAGATCAAATCAATTGATTTAATTCGTGATCAAAACACTGTTAAGACCGCCAGGGAAAAAATTCACTTAGCTTTTCGTTTTGAGCGAGTTAAAATCTAATGTAGCGCTCGAGACTGACGACTGTTGGCGTGGCACGCAAGCTTATTTGAACTTTTTATTTTTGATTATGCCGTATTTATTTCCAAACCATCCTTTATCCTTACAACTTTTTTGCATATTTATTATATTCTGTACAAAATAATATTGATGTTTCACATCTGCCAGGCATCCCGAAGCCAATCACTAATATTTTATTTAGAGGACGTCGCATCCGTGTGTGTTTACACATATACGACACAGAAAATAGTCGTTCTCCAGTTTCAAATGTTTCAATGGTGTGCTGGTAGTTTTAATATTGACCAGTTACCGTTTATACAATTTAAAGGTAAAATGATTGTATCTAAGGCCCCACGTAGGCTTTTAGATTTTAGTGCCTTTTAGTTTTTACTGATACTGTGTTTAAATTCCAAATAAGTTACGCCCTGTCTAAAATGATATATTATCTAAGCTTTTAATTCTCGAGTCCTATGATTAATCCATAGTCCGTGGTATCGACTTCCAAGTGTTTCAACAATCAATATGATAATCAGATAATGATAAGAAAATGTATTTTAATTATATAATGATATTAAAAAATATACCTATTACCTAAACATTTATCTTTTTAATATTGATTGTTTCATTTAATTATATGTTAATAGTAGGTAATTACATTTATTTATTTAATCAAAATCGTTACTAATGAACAATAAAATAAATTAAAGTTAAATTTTTAGTATAACCATGGGTTGGAATATTTACAAATTATTGTGTTGCTGTGGCAGTTCCAATGAATCAACTAGAGTAGATTTGGTAAATTGATTTTAATATTTATTTTTATTTTGTAAACATAACACATAGATATTTGCATAGGCAATTGTCCGAGAACAACAAGCTGCAGCTGCTGAAAAACGTTTAAGAGAACAAGAAAGCCGAGGTATAAAGAATCCAGATCGTGTCAAACGCATGCAACGAGAACAACAAAAACGTGATGAAGAAGCTAGTAAAACTGCTAATATGGGGACGAGTACTGGATTAAAGGTATTAAATAGTATTCATTTTATACCTAGGCGATCAAACTTTACAAAAATAATTGATAATAATATATTAACCTATCCAGTTTCATTATCATAATTGCTGTTACTTGGATACTCATCTGTGATAAATAAAAATTATTAATTATAAGTTTTTAAGTTACCTTTTTACTTATAATAGGTATATTAACTATAGTTAAAATCAGATCCAAGATTTGTTAGATTATTTTATTGATATGAACTAACTATGAATCTATAATGAATAAAATTATAAATATTGTTAGACATCAAAAATAGTACCTATCCAAAATAATAGTTTTATTACAAAGAATTTTTTTGTTATCTTATTTGCGCCATAGAGTAATATTGAACTTTAAAGGGGCAAATCCTCTACTATCTATCTATCCAACATGCCAAACTGGTTGCCCATCCATTAATACCATTAAAGTAATGGAGTATGCCTATAATATTATTTATTCCCAGATACCTAGGTTGGATAACTAGGGAGGTTATTGTATTATTTTATAATTTAAATTGTACATATATTATTATTATTTTCAATATTGTTTCAGTGGCAAGTCAGTTAATTATCCAAAGTATTGAAGTTAAAACTCCCATCAACTAAATATGTATTTATTTTTAATTAATTAAATTATATTTTTAAATACTGTCTGTTATCACTTATGTATATAACCTGTAATATTCATCTAGTTATAATTTTAGTTTTTTAGAAATTTACTTTATTTTACTATTTTTTATTGTTCTACAATCATGTTATATTTTAATATATATTATGTACAAATTAAAAACATTATTTAAAAATCCAGTGATATTAATATTCTAAGTGATATATTATAAATACATTTTCCATTTTCCATTTATTATATTGTTATAATTTTAAAATATTTCATTAGGTACACATTGACATTATTACATTATAATTCTGACAAGTGAGACGGATCGAATACAACTTAAATGGTAAAATATAGTATTAGGGTCTAGATTTTAGGGCTAACTTAAAACTTCAGATTGCCCACTGTTTGAAGTGGAAAAAAGCTTTTTTAATAAGTTGCAAGTACAAAACTAGTATAAATAAATATAAATTATAAATAAAAGGAAATGGTTTTGATTAAATTTCCAATTATTGAGGAAAATTATCACAGGTAATTTTAAATATTAAATATTATTGGTTATAAAAAGTAACCAAAATTTAATTGAGTCAAATGTTAAATAATTTAAATAGAACTATTTATAATTTGCTTTGTCTGGAGTGCTAGGCATTTGAGTCATATTTGAATTAATTTCTGAAAAATCAAGTACAAGATGCTGTTTAGATGGAGTGTGTTGTCTGAAAGATACACCAGACGCTTTAAACATTCTTCTAGAGGCAACCATTTCTGGTTTGAAGCTATACTTATCTGACAAATACACTACTTCTTTAATACCTGATTGGATAATTATTTTTGCACATTCATTACAAGGGAAAAGTGCAACATATATGGTACAATTACGTACATCCATGGAATTTTTATTTAATACAGCATTCATTTCAGCATGGCATACTGAAAATATATATGAGGATCAAATCTATTATTTTATTATCAAAACATGAAATCATGAAATAAATATAAACATTATATAACTTGCCATAGAAATATTTGTTTTCTAACTTTGATGGATTATTTTTACCCCATGGAAAGTCATCATCATTACATCCAATAGGCATTCCATTATATCCTGTACCTACTATTTTTTTGTCTGGAGAAACAATACAAGCACCAACTTGAGTTACTGGATCTTTACTACGTTTAGCAACCAAAAATGCTGTTGCCATAAAAAAATCATCCCAGCTTAAATAATTTTTTCGCTTTCTACACATCAGAATAAAATTGAATGAGATTAGACAATTGAATTTATATTGTAATCTACAATCATACTCATTAAAAATTGTTGTTTCAATACTAGTATTATCAGCTGAAACATTATCAGAGTATTGTGTAGTTTCATTAGTTGAGCGATTTTCGGGTTCAGATTCATTGGCATTAATTTGATGTTCCATATTGAGTTTAATCAGAACTTCTCGTATCTATAACATTGTATTATTAATTTTTTTAGTACTTATATGTATAATATATAAATATGTGTCCCGTGAAGAAGTTACCGGCCGATAACATTGATAGCATACCTCAAGATATGAAAAAAAGACCTTCCAAGAGTGTTTATAACTTTTTTATTTTTTTAGTTTTAGGCAAAAATTTTTTTTTAAACGAAATTGGACATACCACACATTAGCTGATATATCTTCAAAACTTTTCAACTTTTTACTATTTTTTTTAAAGCTATTTTACTGTGGCATACACAATCAAACCAATAATATACATGTTATTTTTTTAATTTAAAAGTAAAAATGAGTTCAGCAAAAATTTGCACTTTTGAAAATTGAACAGAATACCAGGAATACTACATTTTGTTTTCATATCTTCCATAATTTCCAATTGAAAATGCTGCTAAAAATGCACGACTTTCGATTGACATTGAATTATAATGGACAACGAACTAAGGTAATACATGTACCAACTCACTAAGAGGTACAGTTAAGAAAACAAAATGCATTAGGTATTTTAGCTTTTATTGTGTAGAGATCAAATAAAAAATGTAGTGAATACAGCGTTCTTTTGACTTATGCGTGATTTCCTTTCAAACATGCTTATTTTATATGACACTAATATTTGTACATATTTTGTTTATTTGTGTGTGTTTTTGATTGCACAGTAAAACAACTTAGCAGAAAAATAAATAATGATACAAAATTGAAAAGTTTTGAAGATACATCAGAAAAATGTGGTAAGTTAAATTTTAATTTAAATAAAGTCCCAACCCTGTAAAGAGGTTATTTTTTATAATTAAAGTATACTATCATATGACGCTGGTCGCTAGTTACTTCTTCACGGGACACGTTGTATTATACATATTAAAATCATATATTCATACGGACATCATGTACAAAAACCAGTGTTAAGTTAGGAACATAGTCATCAGATACTGTCCAATAAATATTTAAAATATTCTACTTTTAATTAAGATTAATTGCATTAATTATAGAAAAATGTTTAAAAGTACCTACCGAATACGTGAGATTTGTATACTTGTTACTTAACGTTTCACTAAAATTAAATTATTTAAATGCGAGATTGCTAGTGTAAAATACTGTTATAAATTTAAAATGTAAGCACCTGTGGACTGCAGCATGAGGAAGTAAAGTATAATCATTTATCAGTAATCACAACTCATGCACAAGTCACAACATCAGTGATACATAATATCGAGAAACAGAGGGGAGATACCGCCGCGTTTCATTGGTAGTTGGTATTGGGCTGGGATAATATTATACTATTAATTATTACAGTATTATACATTTTTACACTTAGATCACATTAAATATATTATTAACTAATTTAAAAAAAAATATCATATTATACACATGCGTAGTATAATATGATATAAATATATACAAATTAAAATATAAGCTGATAAAAACCCTGTGACTATTTGTATGGTTTCCCGGAGTGCACACTTGTATTTGAATTTGATTACTAGCAAATGATTGTACAAATAACAGTAGGTATCTTACATCTACAGTTTGGTTGAACATAAAAAACCTTGCTTGATCTGTATAAAATTATGGGTGGCAGTCGCACATTTTTATTTTTTTAGCGCACTGTTGAGATTTTTGTTGTGAAAACAAAAATATTCAATTTGACAGTATATATTGTAAAAATTCAATATTTATTGATTTTTTAAAATCATTGTCGACATAACATTTTTCATCCGATTAAAAATTTGAAAATTTAAAAGGTACTCACTAGATTTCCCATACTTTGTTTTTAGAAATTATAAAAAGTTAATTAATCGACGATAGTTTTTATGAGTGTCTGAACTTTGAATGTCGACCAAATTTATCAAAATCACGACAATATTCCAATTATTTTGAGTTGGAAATTCAAAAAAAATTTTCTATTTACACCTAATAGATTTTAAAATGTTATAGAACACTTACCATAAGCTTAAATAAAAACAGTTAAAAAATATTAAATATACCTATAGGTATAATTTTTTTATAAGCATTTAAAGTTAAGACATTTTTGTTTGAGGTAAATACATCATGCATCGAATCGTAGAATTTAAGGCCTTGAATAAATAAACTACTCATGTATCTTAAAAGGTAAAACAAATAATATGATAGTTCAATGCAAGTTTGTACTTCGTAATGTATACACTCAGAAATTACAAGACCGATTTTTATGAAAATGTTCAATTGTTCTTAAAGATTTACGGGAGATGCCATTGATTACAATCTACAGATATAACAGATAATAAATATATATATTACAATAATGGATAAATACATTTTGTGAAACCGAAATTAGGTAACTCAAAAATTACTCGACTGTGTTCAATAAAAGTCATATCGATAATATACATTCATTGAGACTTCCGAGGGTGCAATTTTCTGCGTTTATACCATTTGTTTCAACCTCTAGGTAGTAGGTTTTAGATATCATACAATTAGTTCATACAATTATTTTTCAGCTCACGATTTTTATTCTTTATTTAAATGGTTTCCATCGCTCATTGGTTACATATTATATAACATTTACATATTTTTACAAATACTTATATTTATAAAAACTGCAACACGGCCGTTAAGTGTTAAGTATTAAATGGGTAGGTAATAATAATATGCAGTAGTTATGTCAGGCCTATTCATTCACATAACACGTTTCATGGTGAGCAACAAGCCGTTAGGAATGCGTAAGCCGCTCACCGTTGCCCATCTTAGCAAGAGGAATCGATAATTATTATTATTTATAAGTCAGATATTGACTATATCGGGTATAAAAAATGGATATCGTCGTAGAGAACAAAAAACACCCTAAATGGTAAATAATAGACGTACCTATTTGAAAATATAGCCTTTATAATTATAATTATACTTAAAAAAAATAAAAACTCAGAGTTTGGTTATAATAAGTATGAATAATATGATAATTATTTTTTAAAAAAATGAAGACCTACGTGACGTATATATTTATTTTTTTTTTGGGGGGGGGGCCTTATTGCCTATTTTTTTCTTGTGGTATCGACAACGCTGCCGGAACTTCTAGTGAATTCCAAGGGGGCTTTACAAAATTCTGAGGCAACTATAGCCCCCAAGCCCCCCAGCCCCCCATTAAATGCTTATGTAATACAAATGCATAGGTGTATAATGTATATTCTAGCCAGTGCTGCAGACTGTAGGTGTAATGCTGCATTGCTGCCTCATATTATGTCTATAGAAAAAACATCATTAAATATACATTATACTTGGATGACACTTAGTAATAACTCTAATAACTAATATTATTGCCTGACAGACTGTCCTAATTTTAAATCATTGAATTCAAATTTATTTTTTCTTCCTTCATTGGGTTTTTAACTACCTATAGAATTATTATACCTCGTCAATTATATTATGTTTAACATAATTCAAATTTAACCCATCCGTTACAGCTAGTAGCCAGTAGCCACTAGCTATAAGTTATAACCCCTTCATACTGTCTAAACACCACATACTGTACAGCAGGTCGGTACCCATTTGCCCACCTTTTTTCTGATAGGTATTTTTTTCTTGGTCTTTATTACCGATTATCGTATTAATGTATTAGATATTCTGTGACAATAGTGACTAGTGAGTAGTGGGACACTGGGACGGCGTACCCGCGTACCCACCTGTATACGACATACATACCCACAGGCCACAGAATAAGTAAAACTACAACATATATATACCTACTATAAAAGTATAAAAGTATAATGTACATATCTATATAATGTCCTTCCAAATACTGGAAATGATATATTCCTTTTAACTTTTAAGTACATAAAAAGACATTTTGAGGACCAATGCTAAATCTGAAATCTTGTGATAACCATAGATAATAAATTGATATCAAAATAGTAAACAATAATAATTAACTTGCAAACGTAATATTTTTGGGAATATGAATATTATTCATTTTTTCTTATGAATAATATATATAATAAATTATGTTAGTTACAATAGTGTTTGTTGAAGTTGAGTGAGGTAGTGTTTTATTTAAATTTGTTCATTCTACGGAATGGATCCTGTCTTCTGAATGGACACTTTTAATTGGTAAGGGTACACTTTTTTTAACTTCATATGGAAAAGTATTTTTTATTGAATAAATATTTTATTTTTGCTTTAGGTATCTGGAGAGAACTTCAACATTGCAACAAATCAAACCTGTAGGTTTATATGACCTTTCAAATTTACAGTTGAGATTTTTATGCCCACAAGATATCAATGAAGTAATTTACTATTTACCTACATAATATTTTAAATGGTGATACATATTAAATATTATGAATGACTCTAATAATAAATATATCAAACTTAAAATCGAGTGAAGGAAAAAACATTCTATCAATTTGTGCCCTTGTTAATGTCAATTGAATTATGGAGTGCTTAATTGTTTCTAATTATTGATAATATAAATAATCTATTTTCATATGTATAGTTATTCACACAATCACACCTGTCTTAAAAAAAATTTTATATTTAAATAAACTAACCTATTCTGCAATTTATCGTCTGCATAATATATTTTCATAATGACTTATGAACAATAAGAATGATTAATAATTATATGTGTAGGCATCCTAAGTCAGATGTATACAGAATGTCCTGTGAGGATTTACCCATTGCGATATCTCCTGAAATTACGGAGGTATCATAATTCTGGGTTTATCATAAGACTCGCAGAAACTAGAACTACAAATATTTGATGTTTGCCTGTTAATTTTTCTCAAAACTAGAAAAAATAATTAAAATCAGGAGATTATACTAAAAATGAATTTTGAAACGTCAATATTTTCAACAATACAAAATGGCTGTTTCAATTTTTTTGAAAATAATTAAATAAAAAAATGTATTGTTGAACTTTGTTACCAAAACATTAAAATAAATTAAAACATAAAATATTTGTAGTTCTTGTCCCTGTGAGTCTTATTAAAAAACCAAGAATATGATATCTCCATTGTTTCAGGAGATATCGCAATAGGTAAATCTTTACTGGACACTCTCTTTATAAATATTTCGTTTAGGAAAATTGTAGAACATTTAATTTATTCAAAATACATATATTAAACAATTAAATATATTAAATAATTTTTTTTTTGTGAAAAAAAAGTGTCGTGAAATGTATATTTTGGTTCATTTGTAATATCATGAATATTCAATGTTGTATAAACTCCTTTATCTATTAGTATTATTACGAGACTAATCACCATAATTTAAGCAATGCATTGTATGTTGGTTAAATGTCTATTAAAATACTAATATTATTGCAGGTGAACGCTTTGTGTGTAGATTGTTTTCCTGTGGAATACCCTAGATCATGGTATGAAGACATAACATCAAATCCAAAGTTTTATTCTTTAGCTGCTATACATAAATCTGCTATTGTTGGCATTATAGTAGCTGAAATCAAACTATATATAAAATTAACACCTAAGGTGAAATTATTTTTTAATATTTTTCTACTCATTGAAATGTAATTAGAGACCTATAACATTTTTATGTAGGAATTTTATCAATAATTTTTTACTTTATTTTATACATCAATAACTCATTGATTTATATATGTATATGTACTATAGGAAAGAGAAGTAGTTTCGCCATCTGCAGGAAAATTTACTCAAGTTGGATATATCTTGAGTTTAGGTGTTACTAAAGCATATAGACGAAACGGCATAGCGTCATTGTTGTTAGATAATCTTGTATCACATTTGACTTCTGCAGAATCTCAAAACTGTAAGGCAATTTTTTTACATGTACTTTCCAGCAACTCATCTGCAATTGCCTTTTATGAGAGAAAGAGTTTCAGGTAAAATTCAACTAATTGCATTATTATAATTTTTCCTATATGTTTATTAAATATACATTGTATAATATAGGTTACATTCATTCCATCCTTATTATTATATGATAAATGGAATTAACAAAGATGGGTTTGCATATGTGCTATATATAAATGGCGGACACCAACAATGGATGATCTTATATCCTTTTAAACAAAAATTAATATTGAGTATTCATACTTTAGGTAAACATCATGTAAGATATATATATATGTTTATTTTTAATAAATTAATAAAATATATTTTTAATATCTTGCCTGGGACTTGACTTGTGTCATGGTGGTGGGCAAAGCTTTTTAAAATTTTATATTTATCTATTGAATACGAATTATGTTAATTACAAATTTAAACTATAACCAACATCAGTAGTTTACTGGCAATAACTAAGTTCTTTATAATCATTAATTACATTAAAACATATATCTTCATAATTTTTAACTTAATTTTAAACTATTTATACCATGAACCTATTTAGACCATTGTACGATATGTTGCCATTGACTTTCCAGTTTATAACATCTAGCAATCTTAATATATAAAATGGTAAGCAGTTTGGTTAGTATTATATTCGATGATAAGTGATAACTACATATAAATCGGCTGTAGGTATTTTCAATCCTTTACTTTCTACTTATAAATCTGACTTTTTTAAGAACAATTTTGCCTTTAGAATTTCAAAGAACGCAATTTCCCATTATTGCATCGTTTCTAATGATTATCAATAAATTTCAGGGGCACAATAAAAATAATCAACCTTGATAATAATAGAAAAATTAATTACTTAAACCATTATAAATAAATAAATAATACTGAATAAAATAAACCTTGAAATATTGGCCAACGGACCGATTCTATCCAGAGAATTCTTTTTGTATACAATGATTTATCAAATTAAACTCATCCATTACAGTGATCTACTCAAACTCAATATAAAAGTAGACGCCAGTAGGTATACCTGACACCCCGGTATCCTAGTACCTTCTCCAGTATTTTTATTGTTTTAATACATAAAAGTTTTTTTTTTTTTGCTTAAGAAGATGCTATACCCGCCTATATTGTTTCCATCTTAAAAATGCAAAAGATAGAAAAAAAATTGTTTTATAACAGGTAAGAACCACTCAGGCTGAAGTCCAAACTAAACAACCAAATATTCACACTATAAAGAGGCAAACATTTACTGTGAAACTTGTTTCATCTCTGTGATATCAAAAAATTGAAAACAACATTGTACAGTCAACTCCTCTTTAAAGTGTATGCTAAGCTTGGACTATAGCCTGAGTGATTCTTACACACAAAAAACAATTTTCGGTATGTCGTACATTTACCAGACAGAGACGGCATGTACGTATGTATCGTGCTCTTAAAGACCAAAGCTCTTTTTGTCACAATAGTTTAGTCTCTTAAGTAAATAGGGATTTTACTAGCCTGCAGTGGTTTCTTGCAACCTTTTACAAAAGAGATTGGTGGATTTTCTTCTAATTTAAACAGTCAAGTTCCTAGAGAAAAGTTGTTTTATTCTGCTTGGCCTCTCCAGTCATTCTATAAATAGATTAGTTTGTTTTAATTAAGTTTTGAATAGAACATTGAAATGCGTTTTATTTCCATCTATTTATATTTACTTGTAGTTAGTAGATCCCTACATTTTAGTTAACACCTGAGTATTATTTAACATAATTTAGCGTTTTACAATATTTTCCTTAATTTATATGATTACTGATATTTTGAAGTATATTTATACTACAGTTTGTGAATTTGGTGTTGTCAGATGGACAATTAGCAAAGCTCGAAAAGCCGCTAGACGCTTTTGGCCAAGAATTAGGCGAATTGCTTCTCAAAATACCAGTACTATTATGATTGACTGTAGCTGAGATATATTAATGTAACATGAATATTCTAAATTCCATCTGCCATTCAGTTGATATATAAAGTATACATTTAATTTTTAAGGTTATTCTATCATAACCACACCGTTTGTCTTCTTAATATTTATTAAATATTGTTGTAGTTATGGGAACTTTATACACTAAGTTGTTCATATGCAACAAAGTAAATATCTTATACGAATATATTTTTTAAGTTCATTTAATAACTATCGGACAAAGAATGGAACACAATGTTTTTAGCGCTAACAAATTTATTTACTTACATTTACATTATATTTACTGAATAACTTGAGTTATTGCAGTTCATCATTTTTGATACAGCAATAATAATTATAAAAAAAAAAAGCGTGCCTACAAATTTAAAATATTTTATATTGAATTTTTCTACTATAGTACTTGTGTCAAAACTATTGTATAACTACCACTCTCAGAATTTCATAAAACATTTGTTCTTCATTTTATATTCTTAACAGTTTTAAATGGTAGGTATTATTTATCTTCCTTTTTTTGTTTTAAGTTATTTCAAATTTGTTAAGTGATTTTTTACTAATTATTATTACAATTCTTAAAAAAGAACGTGTTCCTTTTTAAAAATTTCTAGTCACTTCATTTAAAATGATGCCTAAGATACAATACAAATGTACCTTTTTATTAGTTCTATGTTTACAGACCATTATATTTTTTCTGTTGTTATATTTTATTAGTTCTCAAAAATTAATTATGTTTATAATAAACTTTGATTTTTATTGATTATTATATATTTATTTTTAGTTATTATTTTAAATACATTCATGTATTGGTTTTTTTTAAATTATTTTTTGTTATATTATTTTATAGTTTAATCTTTAAAGTAAATAAATCCTTTTTTGTTAGAGCATATTAGAACAATGATAAAGATCTATTTATTTTTTACACTTTTATTTTTTTGTTTTCCTGTTAATTATTTTTATATTGTATTCATCTAATTTATTAAAATTCCTTTTTAGCATTTGAACTATTTTGAATGCAATTAAAATTCATTAAACATAATTATGTTTATAAGTAATATAATTAGTGTTTAATGATATAAAAATATTTAACTGTTAAAGTTGTATATTTTCTTGGAATTTATTAACTCTAGAAACTATGTAATAAATATTAACATCAAATAAATCTGTAACAAACTCAACTATTTCATTTCCGTTTGCTTTCTTTATTCTTATATTTTGACGAAATGTATCAACTAGTTGTTATACTCATGTAGTACAATATTATTAAAATACAGTACAATGCCATTGATCATAATATAATATATCATAAAATCGATGCTGTTAACAAACAGCTATGGTTTTATTTTTGTTCTATATTTTCCCCAATTATCACGATACTTCACCTTTCAGTTTAATATGTATGTATTGGGATTCAATAATAACCTACCAAATATCGGTTTTTAATTTTTTTTTAAGTGTTGATTGATTGTTGAACAATTAATAAATAATCAAATTAATTGATGATTTAACGAATATTCCTCAAATAATTTTTTTATTTTTAATTTTTATAATACAACCACAGGCTTTCGTCCAATTTACAAATTATACATTTAATACAAATATACAATACTTTGTTTAAAACATTTTAAGTATTGTTAAAGTAAGGAACAGAGAAGGGTCTCGATTACCTAAATTCATGTAGCGATGAGTGGATCATATTTGACCATAATTATTAGTTGTTAGAAGTAGGGAGTGAAAAGGGAAAATGTTGGGATATGAGGTCCGGAATGGAATATTAAAAGATGTTTGTGATAATAATGAGTACAGTGAATCGATTTTCCCTTGTAATAATTTGGTCAAAAAAGGCCTGGCGAGATTAGCAGCTGCTCGCCTACGGTCAGCTATTGTTTCAAGTTTAACTTTCAAGTAATTGTATACTGTATTACTGTATAGTCATGATTGGAACTTGGAACACTTAATTTTTCAAAGTGTTGCCAACATAGTTCATAAATAATATATTATTTGGTTTAAAATAACCTGTTATTTTTTTATATGTGTGTGAAGAATTATAATCGATTTAAACCCATTTAAATACCTAATAATATGTATTTGGAACAACAGAGCAGGACAATCATATCATGTCCATAGGCGTAACTAGGGGGGACTATGCCTCCCTGTTACCATACTCCCACCAACGATAGCTATATTTGTACATTTTAATTTAGAAATCGTTCTACTTTTTTATGAGGATCTGGGACATTTTTTTTTTGTTATTGTCAAAATAAACATATCATTATTTATTTTCATTATAAGTGATGATTGATGCCCCTGTCTAGGGCGTTGTTTTCCTATGTTTCAGGATTTATTAAATTTAAAATAAATGAAACATAATTAAAATTGGTATAAACGCAGTTTAGTTCTCCCTCACCAATTTATTTTTTTTATATCGAAACTATTATGTAACTAGACGAGTTGAAGAACGATGGTGCAACCAGAATTGAGCTCGGACTTACTTTTGAAGTTTGCGATTTTACGATTATACGTACATATGCGCGGAACACTACATTAATGTCGCTCGGAGGACCTAGAGTTTGGCGATCGGGGTAGGTAGGTGAAGGGAGCCACTATACTTGTGTTACTTTAACTAAAAAGGTTAAGTTTACTTGTAAGGTCATTTGCCTGCCCGAAGGTCAGTATGCTCTCTCCCCTCACCATCAAGTTAGCGATTGTAGCCCCAAGGGGTTTGGAGGCAAAACCCTAGATTTACTAATGCTGAGCAGAGGCTTAAACTGTAATTATTAGTGTTACGGTTACCCATATAAATTTCTTAACTTTCACTTAAATTTGAATAATATTTAATGTTTAAATTGACAGACACCTTGAATCCAAAACTAAACTGTTTCTTTTTTTTTTTTTATTGAAATTTTGTAATTTACAACTAATCTCAACAATTAATTGTACATGCTATAGTTTATTATATAAGTAACCCAGAATTAAGAAAGAACGAAATTGTGGCGGTAATGGCAGAAACAGATTGTGATGAAAGTATTTGGCGAGCGTCGGGGGTAATGTTGAGAGAGTGAAGGAGAGAAAAGAAGCGAGAACGTTTTGCCGATAAGAAGGGGCAGTCAAATACAATGTGATCAAAATCACAGACCGCTGGAATGTGAGGAAAAATACAGAGAGGCGAGTTGTTCAAGGATAATTTGAAGGAATGTGAGGGGAGTAAAGAGTGGCCGTAACGAAGGCGGGAAAAAGAACTAATTACTTTACGAGATAATTTTAGACTGGAAAACCACGGCTTGGATGGAATGCTAGTGTTAATATTTCTGTACCAAATGGCATAGTTGGGAGGGAGATTTGTGAAGGAATTAGTCCATAAACGATTGACGCAAGATTTAAGAATGGGACAGAAGTCCGACCAAGGAATCAAATTACTAGCTGGATTCGAATGGACGCTATGGTTTTGGCCAGGGAATCCGCGATTTCATTGCCTAAGATACCTGTATGGCCTGGAACCCAGAGAAATTGAATTACAAAACCCGAATTAGAGAGGGTAAGAAGAAGGTTCCTGATCAAAAAGGTAAAAAGACTAGGTGATGAGTTGAAGACATTAGAAGAGAGGGATTGTAGGCAAGAAAGCGAATCGGTAGCAATAAGAAATTTATTGGGCAGTAGGGTGGAGATAAGTTTGAGCACTTTGATGATAACAAAGCATTCAGCTGTGTATGAAGAAGCTATTGATGGGAGGTTGTTGGTAAAGGAAATAAGTAATTCAGCAATGAAAAAAGAGTAGCCGGCCGAAATAGGAGAGACCGAACCGTCGGTGCAAATTAAAATAAAAAGAGGAAAGGTTTGGTGAATGTAATCCTGAAAAAGACCATTGACCAAGTTGGGGGAAGAGGATTTAAGAAAATCTAGGGAATGACCTAGGACATCACAATTTATTATAGGAGCAAGTACAAACAAAGAAAAGTCTGCTTCGTAGAGAGGCAATTTGTTAGAAGTAAGAATATAATTTTAAGTAGCCGAAAGAGAATGAGCAACCAAAGCAAGAACGGGGACAGATCTACTGACATAGCACCAGAGTTTCCATTTTAAACACCAATAAAAATAAATTCTAATTAATACAAAAAATGAGGAGAGCTTGTTTTTATAATATATATTAACCTTTTATTTCTGATAACAAGTATGAATGAGTATATTATTTTGTGGTACAAATTTGGTACTTTAATACAAACTGTGCCTAGCAGATAAAAATAAAAATTCTGCCAAATGGACAACCAACCAAACCTTTGGATGTACTCCCAGTCAAAATAAAAATAAAAAATAAACTATAATACTAGAGAAAATATACACCAGGGCCCACAGTAAAATCATAATATTTATAATAATGGTACATCTTTTAACCATTTTAAAATTTCTGGAGTATAGTAAGTCACAATCACATCACCACCTAAACAATAAAAACAAATGTAAAGAGTAAGAAATCAATTATTAATAAATAAAATATTTTACCGGCCCGTCGCATGCTCCTTAAAATTTCAATTAAACCCTCTTTTAATTGTACTACACCAGCTTGTACAGCATAATATAACATTGAATATTCTCCAGACACCTTAAATAGAATAAACATAAAATTTATTTTCTAGAAAGAACAAAAATATAAGATTTACCTGATATATAAATATTGGTATATTTGGATGTTTATCCTTAACTTTTCTTACTATGTCTAAGTACATCATACCAGGTTTTACCATAGTCATATCACAAGATTCAGAGATATCTCTATCCTAAAATTATATAAAAGTAATTATCAACATTGTTTCTTTAATAGGTACATTATTTATTATTATAAAATTGCACAATTAAGGTTAGAAATAAATTTATATATATTTATTTATATTTTGGTTCAATAAAGTTCAATAACATATTCTTAAACTGCCATGTATTTTTAATTTTTACATATGTATATGTTATAATCTTAACTTTAATAACTTACTGTAATTAACAGTAAAACAAATAACAGTATTTAAGACATTTAAAACTTGGTATATAATGTGTAATTTATTTTATAATCAGTGATAAAAAATATTCAAAGATTCTGAATAATTTAAGGCCCTGATTAACTCAATAACATTTATTACATATGTGTACTTTAGAGGATACCATTATATAAAGTACAGAGGCAAGTATCCAGAATCCAGATTAATATTTACATGGTCTACAAGTTTACTTGAACAATTCAATTTCAAGAAGTAGGCCCCCAGAAATTCTTCCAATCACAGCCTATACAGTTATTCTACTTACCACAACTCTTTCTGCAATACTTGAACTTCCTACAGGAATTTGATATGACGAACGATTACTAAAACTTGGTGCACAATTTGCAGCATCTCTGAATGGTCCATAAAATACAGAACAAAATTTGGCAGAATACGATAAAACGCTAACTCGACTCAACAAATTCTCTTTCATTAAACTCTGTTTAATAGCTGTTACATGCCCATCCATCATACAAGATGGAGCAACAATGTCTGCACCTATAAATAACATAAAATAGTACTAAATAATTATTCAGGTTAGACAAATAATTAGCTATGTAGCTATGGAGCTAGAAACAATTAATTAAAAATAATAAAACAATTATTTTATGAGCAAATTTTTTTTTCTGTATGTTTAAATAACTACAATAAACCTTATTCCACTATAATATTACTATGAAAAACCAGCATATTTCAAAATAATGTTCAAAGATTGCTGTAGATTAAAAAGGTTATGAATTAATGACCTATCTACTGACTTATACCATAATTAAATAATTACCAGCAAGAGCATATGACAATGCGATTTCTCCTATCCTGTTTATACTTTTTATGTTGTCTATTTGCTGGTTTTCAACGATCCCACAATGTCCATCAGACGAGTATGGACACAAGCACACCTAGAATCCAAATACATTAGTAACAACTAAACCAATATTTCAAAGTATTGTATAAAGTACAGTAACACGTTCTTAATTAGGTACACGTAAGATATATTGCCTTTATGTATACAGTTACAGGTAGAATGGAGTTATGGACTGAACTAAACTTTTAATTAAGATTTTATAAATATATGTATTTAAGCATTTGCATTCTATACTTGCATTTAAATAAAAAAACACTATAAATTCTGGTTAATTTCTTTTAACCTGTGTTTTATATGAATAAAAATTATATATCACCTAGTAATTTATGACACTATAATTATTGCAAATAACTTTTACATAGGTTGTGTATTTCAAATAAATGTTAAAAAAATATACTACCATTTTAGTACTTAGTACATTAATGTTAATTATTGGAGGAAATTGAAGGTGCTGGTGGTTGAATGTATCAGTTAGAGCAAGAAGTACAATCCTTATACATTTAGAATCCTCTTCACATAGGGGAATAAAATATTTCTATTATTATTAAAGAATTCAACTTTCTATATTCATATTGTATATAGATCAGTTGATCAATTTAGTTTAATATACTCATAACGACATTACGACAATCAAAGAATAATTACTTTCTGAATATGTTATTCCTTATACATATAAACTATACTATATTTAAGTTTAAAAAGTATGAGAATGAGATGCATCATATATATTCAGTTATTTTAAGACAAAAAAGGTTCTGAAATGTTTAGTATCTATTAGGTAAAGGAATTCTTTAAAACAGTTATATGGAAAAATATTATTACATAAAAAGTTGGATTAAATATTGAAAGAAAAAAAAATGTCATGACATTTTTTATCAATTTATCACAATTAAAACAGTATTTAATTCTAATATTATGTAATTAGGATTGAAAAAAATTGTTGAATGTAGTTATAGTATCAAAACAAATATTAAAATAAATTTCTTTAATTTTTTAATACCTGGTATATAAAAATATTTATTAAGATGTTCTTAATATGTTTAGTGATATAGAGATGTGGATATAGAAGTATATATATTTCCACATGAATGAAATATTATCTAGAACTAGCATTACTGAAACCACTAGTCACCATACAACATTATATAAGAATATTTACTTACATCACAAGCTATCACAAGATTTGGGTACCATTTCTTTAACAATGGTAAAGCTTGAATAACTGGATTTTCAAGAGAATCAGCATGTGTTCCACATTGATCCTTTTAATTTAAAAAAACAATTGTTAATATTTTTCATAAAGTTAATTAAAACTAAAATATTACTTTTGATAACTTATTGATCACACCAAAAATTAAGATAGATTTAAGCCCTGACTCAACAACTGGATCCAACATGGCTTTAACATGGTTTAATCCTTGTCGGTAGATACCTGGCATTGATTTTATTTCTTCTCTTACATCCTTTTCATCTCTATTAGACATACATTTTGAATTATTCCAAAATCATAGTTGGCTTAAATCTACATTATGGGTACTTACAAGATAAAAATAGGATACATTAAATTTAAAGAAGTAATTTGAGTGTTTTGACACTGCCATTGTCTAAGAGTATCGTTAAAATATCCACTATGAATAACTTTATTCGTATAACTCATTTTAAAAACTCCACGGCAAGTCAAGAACTAAAAACTTTGAATTTGACGAGATGTTAAACTGCTCTAATGCTGTAATTATTTATGTAAATAATTATCAAACCAGTGAAGAAAGACGATATTATATTAATTAGTTATTACATGCAATTTAATCTAACAATATTTCTCTGACATCATTTGATTATTGAACGTCATTTTGAGTGTCAAATTATTAATGATTATTAAGTATTAACAAACACCGGTTGTTACTTAAGTATAAATTAAACTATTTAACTATTATGGTGATAGCTATAATAAGCTTTATTTTGGTCACGGTTTATTAAATATAATATTAAATCATGATTTGTCTTCGCGAGTCGTGGACTACACAGTAGTACAGTACTTAATAGTACAGTACACGGTACACAGTTGTACCCGTGACATGGAACCAGGAAGGTTATCACATGTGACTTATCAGTTATCAGTTATCGTGTAAGAAAATGAAACCACGGACCGTTTACTAACTGAATCTACCTAGTATAAGGTCTATGAATGAATCAGAAAATTGCAACAAATACTGTAATTATTTACAGTATTTGATTGCAATGATAGGTAATTGCTTTTTTTATAGTGATGGTTTAACCAGCGCACAAACCTTTAACTGCCATGATAAAATTAAAAATGTTCATTGTACGTCTATACTACTGCTTAGATAATACAAATTACAAACTTTAGTACATACATAATATATTAATATATTTATAATATCTGTGATACTTTTGATACACTGAGTCATAACGAAATTTATTTATGTTATTTCGTTATGCACTGAGTACTGAGTAGTTACTAGACAGTAGTAAGGAATTTACGTATTATTTTTTATGGTTATTAATCCTTATTCCTTATATTTATTATTAGTTTGTTATTCTCCATGTATCACTATCGTGAATTCGTAACCATAGATATACTGTTGTTGTATTTATCTACTGTCTAACTTAATTTTTTCAGTTCCTTATAATTTATTTTATTCAAATCCTAAATTATCCTTCATTATCTGGGTCACGCATTCTACTGTTCTACTCTTGGTGTTCCTTCCCCAATGTGTCATTCAATATCATCACCTTCATTAATTGTTTTTAGTAGACCTTATTGTCTAATTAATATGTGCTTTAACATCGTATCTCACCTGATGGCTGATTGAATACTTTTCCAGAGACGAGTACAGTTCTCCAGATTTCAATTTATTTTATACTACGATTAAATATATATCAAATACCTGTGCTGTAGCCTAATGGTATATCCAATACATAATAAATGAGATGATACAATAATAATTATGCTAGACAGATTGTGAGTAGTGATTAAGTAACTCAATATATTCTACCATTATAGACCAATAAAAGAGGTTTCGATTTTCTTCAACAATAAATTTACTGGTATAGGAAAGTGAATCTAGTTGGTACTTTTAAAGGTTAGAACTTAGACATAAGAAATTCCCAATAGTTTTCAAAAGCAAATAGAACAAAATCAAATTTTGGATTTGATGATACATGAAATTTTCAGTTATTGCTTATATCCACATTTTTTATACACCATACAATTTTCAAAATATTTTGCCTAGTGTTGAACTATTTATAGGTATATGCAGTTTTCAATTATTATTTATTTTTTTAAAATTAATATCGATAAAAATTAGGCAAAAAAGTTTTAAATGTAATACAAGGTTCCGCGTAAGTTGCTTGTGGAAATTAAAAAAAGTTAATTGAAAATTAAAGACAAATTTCTTATGATCGCTTGAATTAAGAATTTTGTCAAAATACGTAAAAATCACGAAAATTTGCAAATTATTTTGAGTTAAAAATTCTTAAAAAATGTCTTTTTTTACCTGAGATTTTAAAATTTAGTACAACATTCCTTGTAAGTTTTTCTAACTTTATCAAAAAAAATAATTTCCATCCGAAAGATAAATTAAACTTTTATCAGCGTTTGAAGTTGAAATTCTTACATCATTAGATATATTCACTCGATTTCTCATGTAGCCATTTTCTTATTTTGTTGTAATTCAAAAATGATAACTGTAGATACTTGACATTTACACCACATGGTAATTTAACTAATGCATATACTCCGTACAATTTTCAAAATATTTTGACGAGTTTTGATCTATTGAAACATTTTCAGATTTTTTTCAATATATAAATTTCAACAAAATTTTACTTGTTGGGTCAAAACATAGACGTATAATATAATACGTCTATGGGTCAAAACTCAAAAAGCTCGAAAACTTAATACAAGGTGCCTGATATATTGTTACATTATCAATTGAAAAATATTTAAAATACTTATGCACGATTTTTCTTTTAAGCATTTAGAGTTCAAATGTTGACAAATGACAAAATGAATCAAATTGGAAATTGAAAAATGCTTTTGTAGTTAAAAATGTATGAAATATTCAACTTGTATAGCTAAGGATTGGACATTTAAAACAAGATTCAAAGTAATAAGTTAATTATGTAACTAAAAAATCTAAAAATAAATATAAATACAACTTTTTTATAATTATTTTAAGTTCAAATGTAGACGAAATTAAATATTAATGAAAAGCATAACGATTTTAAGCAGCATTTTGTTGTAATTCGGTTCCAAAACAGTTCAATTTTACAAAAGTATATGCATAATATTTTCCCAGTAACACTGATAATCAAACAATAATTTTATGAATAATATAAAGTCAACTTACCGACTACCGTATTAATAATAAATAATAACAATATGAAATATCCTAGACTGACATAGTGACATAACGTCTCCGTTCAGAATTGTTTTTTGTACCTATTCAGTGATTAGTTATCATTGTATTATTTGTAGGTATTCAAATTTAATACCATCCATTAAGTGACCTTCTAAACACCTAATGCACAGCAGAGCAACATCCACTTACCCGCTTTTTTAATTTTTAATTAAAAAAACATGAGTATTGAGTATATATTTTTTTTTTTTTTATTAGAAATAAACAATCTATACAATTAATGTACAATAAGCTTATGTGCTAAAAGAAAACAGGACTTGAAAATTTGATTAAGAAGCCACCCACTGGCAACACTTAGCATGACTTATTAATATATATATTTATTTATTTTACTTATTTTTTTTAATTTTTAATTTTTTTTTTTTTTTATATGTATAGTGTATGTATATTTTAAATTGGTAGTTGCAGAAGGTCACGACACCATTTTCTTTTTAACCTTCGCCTTGGATTTCCTGGGAGGGTTAAAGAGGAGAGGTTTTTAATAAGAGGATTTTGATGGGATAGCAATCGAGTGCGGAAGCGCAAGTAAAAGGATTGAGCTTCATCGTTGATGGGGTTTATGTGAAGATCATTATGTAATGTTAAGTTTGAAACGTACGGTGGTGCATTAAAGAGTCGACGAAGAGCTAGGTTTTGGAATACTTGGATTTTATTGGTATTAGATTTTTTTGCTGAGCCCCAGAGCTGTATGCCGTAAGTCCAGATAGGTTTAAGGAGAGTTTTGTAAATTAGAAGTTTTACTTTTAGATTAGTTTTATTATTTCTCGATAATAGAGGACTGAGGATGCGCAAACGGGCGTTGAGAGTTAGTCTTTTGGTTCGTAAGTGATTTTTCCATGTTAGTCGTTTGTCAAGATTGAGTCCCAGGTATTTTATTGTGTCCGATGTGGGGAGAATTGAGTATATACTTTATTTATGTGACATCGGTTGATCTAGCAAGTGATAGAACGACTGTGAATTGTTTTGTTTAAAATCATAATCTTCTTTTTCAAACGTCCAGAAAAGAATACGTTTTAAGACTGAGAATTGATAACAACTGTTATTTATATCACAGTGTAATGTGTATTATTCATAGAGTAAGTATACTATAAGTATAGTATACTAAGTATGGTATTATTACACATTTTGATCAAAAATAATGATTGTAAAAAAAAACATTACTATAAAATATTTAATAGCAATATGTGGGGTATAAACTACGCCAAAATTAGTGTAAATATGAGATGTAGAACGTATTTAAAATGTAAAGATTAATAAAATATTGTTTTAAATAAGACACAAACCTAATGTGTTACCCGGCGTATAGTATAGGCAAAAAAGGTACGTTTTAAAATATTTTTTTAAATATTAGATTTCAGTCGTAGGCTATTATGGCTTAACAACGTATAAAACTTAGTGAAACGAAGTCAGCATTAGGATTGTTCGGGTTTGCATATATTTCATAGATTTTCGGTTTTGGGAGTAAAAGTATAGGTACTATAATTCTATGTTTCTACGGTCCCCGTTAACAAATTTTCAGTAGCAATAAATATTTAATGTAAGTTTATAAAGTAAATTCAAGCTCCAAAATAACACAAAAACAAACTTCAAGTGGTTCCGCCGCCTTAAGGGTGTAGTGGTCGTTTAAGTTTGGGAACCTCTATCTTAGGGAGTCACTGAAGACTATTCTAAACCTATAATTTACCAAGTATATATGTATAATGATATTATAGTGATTAGAGTAGGTTATTTTACTATTATACATTAGTATTACATAAGGTTGAAGTTCATAATAGCCAAAAAAAATATTAAAATTTATATTAAATAACAAAAAAAATTATTTTTGATTATTTATACATTTTTTATTACAGTTAATAATTCATATTATTACAAGAACCCTTATTTATAATTTTCAGTCCTCACTTAGGAGTAGTTGTAACTAATGTTTACCATGAAATACATTTTTGATGTTTTTAGAGTAAACAAAATATTGTAGACATTAATTTAAAAAAAAAAATTGTCAATCAAAAATTTAATTTGCCTATATAAGTCAAAATATTATGAAAATTTGATGGTGGAAAGAAAATGCAAATTTCCTTTTTATCTCGGCAATAGGTTCACCAGTATATTATGTACAGCATTGAAAACACTATGAATCTGCTAATATTAAATATATTTCAACTGATTGTTTCTTTAGGTGCCCAATTCTATCCATTTTTGCGTGATTATTTATTCAGGAATTTTAATTGTCAAATTAATTTCCCATGTAAAATAAAGCAGTTTTTCTTAATTAAATAGTCGATATTATTCTGTTAACATTTTTGAACTGGGTCTATATGGTTTGTTCAGGTGATTCCACTACATATATGTCTTCATGTAATAAAATATTATTTTTACTTCAAATAAATAATTATCAGATACTGTTAATTTGAAAAAAAATAAAACAATTTACAAACATATTATGTTTATTTTTTTTATTGTTACAAAAAACCATTTCATACTAAAGCCGGAACATAGTAACCACTATCCCTAAGGACTTGGTTGTATGGTTCGACTGCCTTCTTCACTTTCTTGTTGGCTTCTCTGGTCAATTTCTAAAAATAAAAACAGTTTAATATAATAAAATAAAAAGATTTAGGTGGGTTCTTACATTCCCGGTTAAGTGTTGATGAACGTTAACCGACTGTAAAAATTTAATTAGTGGCAGAATTTTGCCGGTTAAGTGTTCATTAACTGTAGCCAGACATTGTAAGAAAGACTAATAGTCATAAAAATTAATTATCACAAACGCCGGAGATGGGAAAAATAGAATATGAAACTTTACTCTTATGATAAAGAAATGTAAAATCTTAAAATATTTCATAAAAAAATGTATGAATATTTTATAATTTACTCGAATATTACAAATTATTTCTACACCAAACTGTAAACACTAAACATGTTATATTAATAGAATGATCAACTACAATAATAAAGAGTAAACTTACGTGTCTGATCTTCAAACGCTGGGCACGTTTGGCTTCACGTTCTAAACGACGTGCTTCATAGTCTTTGACTACATGTTGGTATTTCCATCCAACTTCATGTGATAAACGACCAACATCGCAGTATTTACGTCCACGTTGCAGACTCAACATTCTCATAGCCAAAGGTACTACCATTGTTTTTTGAGATGTATAACGAGCTGGGATATCTTCATATGCCTTCATACGTCTTAAAGCTTGTGCCCCACGAGTTGTTTTATGAGGGATCATACCTGAACAAATATAGAACAAATTTGAAATGTTAATAAAATATGTCTTATGTCTTGGGCATAATGGGAATGTCATTGTCATATGATGCTGTTTCTCTAGATTAACAGGGTGTTTGGTCAATATATCAAACCAACAAAAAATACTAATTTAATGGAACCATGTGAAATTTGTGGTTTACTAGTCCTTATTTAGAATTAAGAACAGTATTTTGATCAATGTGTACATTGTAAAAATCAATAACCAGTTGTTTGTATGGTTATATGTACTTATAAAATCACCACAAGATTAATTTTTAACCACCAATTACCCTAATTTTAAACTTGGATGCACTCACAACTAGAGAAACAAAGATCTCTTTCAATAATAAGTTAAAATAGCTCAAAAATTAGAATCTACAAAATAGATAAGTATGTCAGCAATATTAGGAGTTTTGGTTCGATCGGCGCATTCCCACTTTATACCATGTATTGAGTTCTCCGGTTTTTATTAGGATATATCCGGCCAATGGCGGAGAACTCAATACACGTTGAAGGAGGGGATACTTAACGGGAATGTGTGTATCATTATGTTGCTGACACACCTATCTATCTTGTCAAGCTCCTACTGTGTTTCAATAGTGTAAATTTCATATATTATAAAATAAAAATAGCATAAATAATACACTATATAGAAACATTATTTAATATACAAGCATCCCCCCCTACTAGCTTCAAATAATTGTTAAGGTTATTTTCTAGAAAACGTAGAAAAAAGCTCATACATTTTGGGGAACACTGGAGTTCTGCAAAGCACCATTAAAAAAGCTGATCTATATCATCTTTAATACAGTTGTAAAGGGTAAGACTAACAAATACTAATAAACCTTAGGTAATATTCTATTTATGTTGGTTACGATGGTAAATAGAGCATTAAAAAATATAATATTTGGAATAAAGATAACGATATTTCCAATTTTTACTATGGGTTTTATTGTCTTAGAATCATTTCCAAGTATCCTGTATACCAACATTAAGGCAATATGTCTCAATTAAAAAGTATTAAAAATAAAGTTTCATAAAAGCATTAAATGCATAGTTTTCAGGTACACAGTATATTAATCAAACGAATATGTAAAGTAGTTATATGGGCTACCTGTTATTACTACGTAAATATTTTGTGGCCATTGAGTACAACTATTTTTAGATGTGTTCAAGATTCTTTAATTAGTAAAAGTATGTTTTCAATTATATTATAAATAAATTTTTTAATTTTCTTCTCATTAATAAAATATTTCATAGAATATGTTAATACCTCAATTAATGTAGGTAAGGTAAAAATAGTAATAATCATAGAAGAATATAATAATTTAAAAACTTTGTCTAAAGCACCAGATGCCCATGTATTGTAGAATCAAACCAGTTTAGTATAATTGTAGTATTATTGATTAAATTTATAATACATAATTAGTACAAATTGTGTTGTATATTTTTACTATTCAGTATTTATTTGATGGTATGGCTGTTTATTTTGAATAGCCATAACGCTTTCGGTATTCTTAATACAAATTAATATCTGTGATATCTTAGATTTTTTTAAATTATTTTAGACGTGTGAATTAAGACTCTCGATTACTCAATTTACATATCAATATCTTTTAGTACTCGACATTTGTGCCTTCGAACAGTGAGACCGGACATAAGGCACCCAGTACTCAACTTTGTCACTGGGTGTCCGATGCTCTAGATACAGAAATTAATAAATACATACGTGTATAATATTAAGTCATCATACAACTATAACCATTTATTTTACAAAAATAAAAAGGGAGGCCCTCATTTAAAAAAAAAAGGAAGAAGAGTATACTCTAACCTAGAGGATTTATATAGTAGTATACATATATAAATTTCTTATGTAATATTTCATAATTATATCTAAACCTCAGATTTAAATCCAATTTAAAAAGATGCATTTATGACCTAAAAATTTCAAAAATGATTAGATATGTAAAATTGCGAAGGTACATTTACATATAAATATACAAAAAATTAAATTTGTATTATACTGAACTATGAGCTTCTTTAATATTTTGAATTTTAAATGATCAACGAATGTCTGACAACAGGTTTTAATAAACTGAAAATTAACTCCCGAGGTGATGACTAGATTCCCCGATGTTAAATAGTTCAAAATGAATTTTATTTTATATCATGTTGTATTATGTTTCATCAAGTAGATTTGCCAAGCCATAAGGAGAGAAATTGGGCAAATATGTCTAAAAAAATTCAATTAAAACATTTACTGAATACAACATGAAGTACTTGCAACACATTTGTAGTTTGGAAAAATTGTATTAAACATTCAAAAAAAAAAAAGGAAAATGTATTGAAATCTGAGCCCTTTAAATGATACAATAACAAGATATTTAGAGAAGTTACAACTCTTTTCATATTTAAATTATTTTCATAATTGTCATCTCAATTAATGTAAGTAAGGAATTATTTAATAATCATTAAAGAGTTTAACTAATAACTAATGTGTAATATGTATATTACATTTATAAGGATCATGTTTCTCATAATAGATTAATTTTTCATAAATTAATTTCAAATAATGTAAGTAAGGATAATAATTAATGTTAATCATAGAAAACATATTTTGATCCTCTTAACTTAATGTATTGTTATTTCAAGTGTAAAATTTAATAAATCTCTTTTCATAAACATTTTATTTTCAAAGACCATGTCTCAAGTAATGTAAGTAAGGATATTATTTTGAAATCATAAAAGAGAGAGGTTCTTTACATAATTATTTTTAGTAACACATTGAATGCGTGTGATGTGTTTACAGATCAGTTTATATGCTTCCATGTTGTTTAATAAATATAGATTTTAATGTAAATTTAAGGTGAACATAGCAAACAAACATAACAAAATGGTTTATAAATAAGTAACACATACAAATCACGATGATGTATAGTTGCATAAATTGTGTTAACTAAAATTAATGAATAAGGTGTTGTTAATTAAATTAGATCACATAGGTTATTCAACTAATTTTATAGAACTTGCATTAATAACGTTAAAAATGAAGTGTTAGGATGCTTATTTTTGGAGTTAAAGAATACAAACATGGTATTTTATAAATAAAACTTCGAAAAGCTTACCACGAACAGTTCTTCTGAATATACATCTGGGAGCACGGTGATGGAAAGGTCCACGAGCCGGGTTTACATTACATCTTTTTCTCAAGAAGGACAAGTACTTAATCTTGTTCCTATTCAAAGTATATGTATTAGGTATAAACACTAACGTTAATTATTGAAAATTAATTTCCAAACCTGTAAAAACTACCAGCAATGTTGATTTTGTCACAGTTAAAAACAACGACTTTATTTCCTTGCAGGATTGCTTTGGCTACGTATGAAGCCAACTTTCCAAGCAAATGTTCTTTAGCATCTATGTAAATGCGCTAAAAAAACAATGAACATTAAATTTTCAATAACTGAAACATAAATTTGATGAAAGAAGCATGTTTCACTCAGATGCGTGCCATAATAGTACATTTAAAAAAATCAACAAAAATATTCTCGGGGCCCTGGAGTGCTTTTCATCAAATTAACTATCTAAATAGTGAAAAGAAAGAAATCAATAATAACTAGATATTTCTTAATATCTACGACCAAAAGTTAACCACAAAACAGTGAAAAACGAAAATTTTAGAATGTAAATGTTAATTAATGTAAGGAACAGTCAAACAGAACATGCAATACATACCTTGTTGAATAAACCATGCTTCGGTGCCATTTTAGTTGGTTTAAACTAAAATGGAAAATTAATATGAAAAGTAACGCGAACGATCTTTTCACGTGCGACGTAAACCAAATGGCAGATATTTTACGAGCTTGTGACAGAATAGGTTAAGGAATAAGGAGTGCGTTTACAAAATTTTATTGTCGACAACCACGTTACTGCGGTAGCAGTTTAACCTCAAAATTGCGGTCCTTACTTTTTGTTCCAAAAAATATTTGTTCCTATGTTGTTATCACACTTTTTGATGTCTTGCACGAATTAAGATATCGTAACCGTGGTGTTGGTTTTGGCACAGAATAATTATTCTGTGGTTTTGGCGTTTTGCTGCTGTTCGTTGATAACATGATTCATAAATAAAAATCTGCACAGTGCGTCCATTTGTAAAAGTACATTTCATTTGCCATCTATTCTGTGCTCGTTAGTTGCGACTTGGCGAGCTAATGACAGAGTGTCACAAGTGTTTTGACAGCTGCTGCTTGTTCTGGTCCTCGCTCTCTTTCCAGTTTCCTTTTCTGTCGGTTGGGTTTGGTACTTTGCTCATTGCCCAATGCTCATTGAGGATCACTGATTACTGTTAAATAGTCTACTTTAGTCGTGGTATACTGCTGTCCATAACTACTATGCTACCGTCAGGATCTCGTACTTGTACCCGCCATACTTAGTACGCAGATTTATTGTTATTTAGTATGTGAAATGGTTTTTTATTTTTAGCTTTCGCACTACAAATTATTGTCCTCAGTGTATATATTCTTTTTTAAAAATCCTGTAGAGTGAAATAACTCATCGCACCACGATGAATCGCCCGAATTATAATCAAAACTACAAATTGGTAGTCGTCGGAGGCGGCGGTGTTGGGAAGTCTGCAATCACTATACAATTCATACAGGTACTTAATTAGATAGAGCTGAAATAGACTATGTTGAGTATCTTGATTGTATAGGTCTGTATTATGTGCATGTGAATTTTGGTTATTTTGTTAACATAGAACTTAACATTCTGTTTAATATTGGCTTTCAAGTTATTACATTTAAACCGTATATTTTAATATATTATACCCATTACCCACTTACTTATAACAAATCCCTGTGTAATGTATTTACAATTATATGAAAACTTAGTTGTATAGATACCGTGTGTAGCTATAATGTAAGTAGGTGATTTGTCTAGATATTTTGATTTAAATGTTTTTGCTAATCTATAAAAGGATAACATATTTATAATTTAAGATTTCAGTTCAAAAAATGTTATTGAAACATTTACAAGTATCTAGTTATTATTTAAATTAATATCATTAAGCAGTTATTTGGACTAGGCACCTATCGGCTATCACTACTTAGTGGTTAACATGATAAATCTATTATAAACTAATATATTTTGATAGAACTTAGACGTAACAGAACTTCAAAAGATAGATTATTCTGCATCCAAAAAATAAAAGATAACATTATGTTACATATTATTAACTATTTAAATTAAAAATTATAATTACTAAGTAAAGTTAATTATATTATGACTATGATTTAATTTTTTATACTTCCTACTTATAAATTATATGTAAGAAAAAAAATGCATATAGTTAAGTCATTTAATTTAAAGAAAAAAGTTTAAACTTGATTTTTAGAATGGTTTTCCATATATATTATATATCATTACTATAATTGTTTTGACCCTCGCAAGATTTGAACTTAGAAGTTTATAATTTTAATATATTTTTATAAATTGATGTAACTTATTTAAAATTTAAGATTTGTTTTTGATGAATACAAATGTATATCATGTTAAAATGATAAAAACAATTGTTGTATGAACTCTTATGGATGTAACTGCTACCAAAAATGTGTGGTTAAATTGCAACAACTAATTGCATAATATGTGGGTGTGAACATTCCCTTGCCAGTGGGTCCAATTCAAGGTACACTGTTATACCTACACAGATAATTCTCAACTCCTTATATGGATTTACTATGTATACAATATTGCAGTATATTATATACTTAAGTAAGATGTTTGATATTGTAATCTAATGAATAAAAAATTTAGATGTGGTTTAAATTAGCCATAAAATGAGGTCATTGATGTCATCTGTAAAAATCATACTACCATATTTTTCTATTTTTATCCATAACTACTAAAAACTAAAATCTTGTTTTTGATCAAATAAGTATTTTTATATATAGATTTTTATGGGACATTATTACTACCATATTTTAAATGAATATGTGTATCATTTACCAAATACAATATAATAAATAATATTATTTTAACACATGAGAAAATAATACTATATTACTACAGACATGATTTGCGATTGTATTATATTAAATACTATAGCTGAGCAATAATTTTTTTCAGCAATTGGTATATTTAAAAAATTTAATAACTTATCATAAAAAAATCTGATGATTAGACATTTATTTTATAGTAGTATATTTTAGTTCTATTAATAAGTAGTGGTTACCTCCTATTTATTTTTAATGAAAATTTGAATAACTGATTTTATTTGAATTTATGTTCATAAATAAACATTAATATACTGTATAATAAGTTTGAATGTAATAGATATTATATTACTGTTTTAGAAATATTTCGTGACAGACTATGATCCAACAATTGAAGATTCATACACAAAGCAATGTGTAGTTGATGATGTTCCAGCAAAACTAGATAGTAATTTTTTTTGAAGAAATTACTAAATACTTAATATTTGCAATAATGATGTATTTCTAATTATTTAGTTTTGGATACTGCTGGACAAGAAGAATTTAGTGCCATGAGAGAACAATATATGAGATCTGGTGAAGGGTTTTTATTAGTGTTTTCTGTAGCAGATAAAACTAGTTTCAATGAGATGGAAAAATTTCATAGACAAATACTTCGAGTTAAAGATAGGGATGAATTTCCTATGCTGATGGTTGGAAATAAGGCAGATTTAAGTAGTCAAAGAATGGTATGTTTTAATTGTTAAAGGAGTTAATTGATATAAATGATAATTATACAAATATATTTAAGGTTTCTATACAAGATGCACAAAGTATGGCCATGCAACTAAAAATACCTTACATAGAATGCAGTGCTAAAGCAGGGATGAACATCGACCAATCATTCCATGAACTTGTTCGAATTGTAAGAAGGTTTCAACTATCTGAAAGACCACCAATCAAATCTACGCCACAGAAAAGTTCAAAAAAGTGTTCCATACTTTAGCAGTTTATGCTGTTAAATATACAATGCGGGTATACTACATACCAACCCGCACTTAACTAAATTATTGTGTTCTCAATTATTGTCAATTTTAACCATTCACATTTAAAACCAAGTTTTTTCACAGTATTAAATATTAATATCTAGTCGTACACCTATTGTACATTTGAACAAATCTGTTGACATACAATTAACCTATAGGGTATTACAATTTATTTTTTCGTTAATACATAACATAATTTTAAGCGTTAGGATAGCATGTTAATTTTAACAATTCAATCCTATTTTGTTATTAAATAATTAATTGATTGCTAATTTCTTTAAGATTGCAAACGTAATACTTATTAACCAAATTTGGCAACATAGAAATATTTATATAGTATCAAAACATCAAATATTTGTACACACATAATGTAAATGGACGAGTTCGATCTTTATACAATTTTTGTCTCCTCCTTCAACCCAACTTAAAAATTGTAATGTTTGAACATTTTTTTCAAATGTCAACTTCTGGTGCAAACTACTTAAATCTTATTATTTATAATGAAAAATAATATAAAAGGCTATAGATAAATGCAATTACATTATCAGTTGTCAAAAGTGCATGTTTTAAGTTTTTTGTTATATAATTTGACATTTTTTATTTTTTCAAATTATATTTTTAATTGTTTAACAGTTAATGTGTTTTATATTAACAAATAATAATCAAAAATACAATACCTAAGCAATTTTTTTAAAGTTACCTACTATTTGTTCTTTACAACAAAACAAAATTTGTTTATTTTTGTATTATAAATGTTAACGCATAAATGATATATTTTTAATAACTCTTGTATATTAACTATTAAGTATGTAATGATTTACTTTATTAAAACTTTTTTTTTTTGTTAAATACTTAACTACTTATAATGTTTGGACAATCTGGATTCAAGATCTTAATAAAAATATAATGTCAAACAATAAAATTGTATTTTTAAATGTACATCTCTTAATTTAAATAGTAATATATTTTAGAAATGATACCCAACTATTAAAATGTATACAATTTAAATGCATTGGTGTATTTTAAGTTTATTTGAACTTAAAGTACAGTAAAATGGGATAAATTGCAACACCACTGTTCATTTTGGAGACTGTGAGTTTGACATCAGGTATTATGTATATAACAAATTGTATGGTTAACAATATTATTTATTGAGTAAAAAATTAAAAAATATAACAGTTACCTGTAATTTCATTAAGATTACATAACACTAAAAATCCTGAGGTCAGCAATCGAATACATAATTAACAACTCAAATTATAATTAAGTCAAAATGTTGATTCCCCTTTGTATTTTTTCACTCTATGTAGATTTATCAAAACTAATACAATTTAAAAAAAAACGTTATTATATATGTATATTTGTAAATATAGCCACTTCCAGTGAAAATATCTATGTACACCACTGCAAATCAAAGGATTCAACTATTTGAATGAAAAATCTAAATGTGAAATTTTGAAATTAAATTCAAGTTATGCATTCTTAGTTTCAAAGTTATGATAGTTTTAACAAATTAGGATAACATGTAGAATAGAAGTTGAATCATCCAACAAATAATTGTTATAAATAAATGTGGTGGTGGCTGGTGATGTGTAGACCAGTCTTAATGTTTTTCTTCTGACTATTTCTATTAAATATTTTATTAATATATAATAGTTAATAATAACCTAACCTCGCGGTAAAATAAAAAAAATAGCCACCTTATTCAGAAGACAACCATTGATAACTTATTTCTCATGTTTATAACCAAAATTTAAATTTAAATTAAAAAAGGCTACACGAAACAACATTGTTACCAACCATGTCAGTATCAGAAATTGTATTTTCTAAGATTAATAATTTATTTATATAACTATCTAAATGGTTATATTTAAAGTGGGGGGGGATAATATATATAATACATAAATATTATATTGTATAACCAAGGTGTTGATACCATTAATCGAAAAAGGAACATACATTTTCGAACTGATTTATAAGAGGTACTAATGTTAAAGGAGGGACCCTTTTATAAAATGTACATAATTATTAATGCTTAACATTTATAACAGAGTGAAAACTAGATAATTTTATTAGTTATTGTAGGTTTAAATGCCAAATACTATTTGATAAATGATAATTAAACTAACATATTTAACATTTGAAAACGTTCCAGAGTTAATTTAGTATTAAATTAATGAATAACTTAGAACTGAACCTTTAGATAGTATTTAAGTATTTTCAAGGATTAAGAAAAAACACAAATTTCACAAAGTTTTTTTTATTCAATTTCAATACAAGAGATACCAAAACCATATTTAAACAGCAAGAAGTTCTCTCTGAACTTTTCTCCAGTTATCCAATGGTCCATGATCAGGGCGGAATTTAACATTGGCACCATCGGGAGCTAGTCTTCCATCTTCCTTCAATGTTTCATATTCTTCACGGTCATATTTTGTAAATCCCCATTTTTTGCTTACATAAATCTAGAAAAATATTTTCATTTTAAAAAAATATACTTTTATATTATAATTATTATTCAATATTCAAATCAACATTAATAAATATTTTGATAAAATAGTTGTATCATTCTGATTTTTAACTTTAGTTTGGTTTAACCACAATTAATGACTCTTTATTTCTTGTTTTTGCTTTAAAGTACTATATCGAAGATTTACACGATGCATAAACAGGACAGAGAACATGAATACATTTGATGTGTTCCTCATTTGGTAGATTCAACATAAGTCAATACACCAAATACGCCTTGTAAAAAACAATACGTTACTGATTGGCTTTCATACATTGCAATAAGAAACAAGTTAAGGCATATAAACCGCTGGTTGACACCTGTTCTTAAAGCGTTAACTGCTTATTGGAACTGGTCATGGGTGCCAGTTTATTGATGTCATTAAAATATAAATATTTATACGTATTGCAATAGACCTACACACATTAGTATTAATAATAATGCAATTATGTACAAGCCCTGCTCATAAAAACTATTTTAACAAGTTTATTAAGTTAAAATGGTATTGGAATTGTGAGAGTGGTCATGGGTTGAATTGTTAATTTAATGTTTATTAAATTTATCCACAGGTATTTTCCATTTAAATTTCTAATATTAAAGATGAAATTAACTACTAGATTATACTATTTCAATGATATACATACCTTTTGGCGACCAGGGAACTTGAATTTAGCACGACGTAAAGCTTCAATAACAGCTGCCTTGTATCTATCAGATGAGCGAACACTCATGATTGGTTGACCAATATGTACACGAGCAACTGTACCTTGAGGCTTACCAAAAGCTCCTCTCATTCCGGTTTGGAGCCTAAAAAATTACACGACTTTCTTAAATACATCACTGTTATACCTAATAAAATATATTTTTTGTTCTGTTATTGATATTAAAGGTTTTATTTATTTCTAAGGAAAATTTTGAATTTTACTCTTATTTATGTTTGATTTAAGGATGATATCGTAAATATAAAGGTAAAAAGTGAACACCCAGTTAAAATATTAAATTACTATAGGTACATTTTTAGGAGTGCTATTGAACATGTCATAAACTTGGGTTTATCAAATTTTTAAACAAAATAAGCATATCCAACATTAATACAGATTATCAAGCACATAGAGGGCTCTCAAATTTAAATGTAACTTGAGGGGGTTCACAAACTCCCTGTAACTGTTATCATTTTGTATTTATTTGTATGTACATACAACATACATAATATATGTATATATATAAATCTACAACTTTAAACATACACTTATGTTAGTCGATAATATTATCAAATATATGATGATGCAACGCTAAAACCACTAACCCTTTTCCATATCACAGCAATCTAGCTTTTGTTTCAATTGAAATAACCAAGAGTAAACAAATAAATACATACCTATCAGCTCCAGCGCATGACAACATCTTATTGATACGAATGACATGGAAAGGATGGAGTCTCATTCTGATGTGGAACTGATCTTTACCACAATGTTTCACCATGTATTTATTGGCACAAATACGTCCAGCTTCCAAAGCTTCAGACGACAATTGTTCATATTCATCTGATACCTATGAATAATAGTTGTTAGAATACTTTGGATATAACTAACATTAAACATTACTTACAAGGTGAACACATAACGGAAAATCATCTACTCTAGCCTTCTTTTTTCCCAAGTCGAAGATCCTAATTTTGGGATCTGGCACACCACGACAAAACCGTGACTTTGGGTACGGCTTGTTTTTGCAGTAACGATAACTATTGAAAGAAGTAATGAACCATAATTAGTACAGTATTGACGAAGGCGTAAATTAGTGGTATTCTGATTCAAAATTTCGATGGTTCTAATAAGGTATTGAACTACAAATTTGGTGAATAATATGAAGTGACGAAATTTATTTCAGTCCATTACATTAACAATATACTGAGAATCAACTTATAAATTATCAGGGTTCTACTAAAAATGTGGCGATTGAGACAAGATGAAATAGAAAGGTTTTTTACTTACCATCTTGCAGGACGACGGCCCATTTCTGTGAACAAAAGGTTAAAACAATTTATAAAGAAACGCTTTTAATAGTAACGACGTAAAAAAAGTTGCTAAATTGAAGGATTGAAATGGATAAAACTTATAATAACTTACTTGGTTCTAGGCGCTCCACCAACGATTCAGAAAGTGTAAACGATAAAACAAAATAATGTTTATCAAAAGAGGACGTCGGTCGTGCTGGAGGGGAAGGTAGAAGAATTGAATTTTTAAAGGAGATTTTAAGCACGCTGCATGAGTAAATACATCATGGAAGAAAGTATGTCAAAGATATTTTAAACATTCCGCGAAATATGAATTGCATTGGGCATTTAAAAATGTATTTGTATTTAATTTTAATCTTATATTAAAATTGTTTTTTGACATTTATGTTTAGCAAATCGATATTTTAAAAATATTTATGAAATATGATAACCGGTTATTTGAGTTTCAAGCGGTGTAAATATGGTATTGTGATTTTTACAATAAACCTTACAAAAATACACTATAGGAAAGCTCTTCTTAACCCGTTACTTTAGACATTAGACATGTTGTCATTATTCTTTAGTATACAAAGTTATATAACTCAAAAACACTACTGATTTAAAAAGAATATAAATATTTTTAAATTAACTTTATTGTGTAGGTAAAGTAAATAGCAAGCACCACTCAGCATAGAATTACAAAAAAAATAATTGCCTTTTATTATTTGGGGATGTGATTAGTTAAAAATAATAATTTTTACATTAAAATTATTGGTTATAATAATTATTAAAAAGAAATTGTCATTTATGTCTTTTATTCTAATTATTTATTATAACAAAGTCACTTTAGGGCAAACGAAATATTATAACAGTACTTAACTTAACCTTGTTAGTTAAAGTAACACAAGTATGGGGACTCGATAACTAGTTAAGGTAAAATAAGTATATTATAGTATAAACTTGAGTGCGGCATTAAAGTAATATTCTGAGCAAGCTTATAAACGTACGCAATTGCAAATTTTGAAAGGAAATAACTTTTAAAATAGGTTGTGATATCCGAACATTTTTTTTTTGCACAATCGTTCTTAACTCATTGAAATATGTATGTTCCAAAAATAAATTGTAAACAAATGCTGGATAGCTTAAATAAAATATGCCCTTGAATCATTTATGCCTCAAAAATCGGACCAAATACAGGATCCAGATATTTTTATGGCCTATAGGATAGTGAAGATCACAGATTAGTTTTGAAAATACTCGTTCACATTTAACTTTAAAAGAAAAGGATTAGTGACTATGATTTAATGTATAATACATTATTAAGTTTCAAAACAATTTCCAGTTAAAAAATTTCAAAAAGCATGATCTCAATATCACTATATCTGTGATTTTTTTGCTAAAAACAAATTAATTTATATGTACACAAATATTAGTGGACTGTATTGGAAATTGGTTTTAAATTTAAAAGTCATAAATTTTAAGCAATATTCTCCATGAGTCTTACTTCCCTAATTTTCGCAATGAAAAAAAAAAAACCAATCAAAGTATAAACTTATCCAGTAAAATACACATTTTTTACTTTTCATTTGATGAGAGCCTATTTGTATAAAATATTGTACATACCAGTAGCGTAGCTGTGGACCATTTTTTTTGTGGGGGGGGGGAGCAAAATGTTGGATACTTCACTTTAAAATCATTGAAATGTAGAAGTTTAATACTCAAAACTAAATATGCAGTAAGGAAATGAGTAAAAGGTGTCTTACCTTACCTAACCTACCCCCCTCCCTCCCTCACAACACAAATATGCTGCTGGTACCCACTTTTAATGATAGAACAAGTAAACAACTAGAAATAGTAAGGCACCTAATGGATAGAACAGACAAAACATTTCTAACAACTAATTAAAGTAATTGTATCAAATATATAGTAGAATTAATAGTTTTGTAGTGAACAGAAAGACATGCAAGTTTATTGAAGCAAATCAAAATAGTGATTAACCAGTCAGGATTGCACATATTTCTATACTAAAAAAAATTGTGACACTAATAATAATACTAATATCTATTTACAATAATACCACCAACTTTTTTTTTTAAATGGCGAGTTAAGAGCATCTCAGGCCACCGTGTGTCTTTCCTCTCTAGCCCAGGAGCTTTGACGAAACCCATTCACCAAAAATAATAATTTTACTATTATGTTTTAAGAAATTTTTGAATAAAATCACCACACACAAAAATGATAGAGAATAATATTTTTGAGGCTATGACCAGGCCCAAACATTAAGTTTTGAGCCCTTGTACTGAATGTTCTTGCAGGCTCTATAAAATATTTAATATAAAATAAGTATTCCTATAAAAATTAAAAATTCATTTCAACATGCTTTTGAACTTCCCCCCCTAAATTTCTTGACCCTGAGTATGACAATTAATTTGTCTTAGACTATTTAATATCCATTGAAATTTGAAACATAATTTCTTTCAATTTTAAAGGGAAATGATAATAAATTATGAATTCTCAATCATTTTTGTGGTAGGTGACTCAATAATTACTTGAATATAATAAAAAAAATTAGTTATACATGTATGAGCTTAATCAATGTTGCGAGTGGATCTGGGAGAAAATAAATGTTGCGCTGATATCCCCTTAACAAATTCTTGTGCTGTAAATTATAATAAATAAAAACAAGATTTAAAATGTAGACAGATATTTCTTTCTACAATGTAAGCATAATAAACCTAATAAATATGTTTCTTTTTGTATTACATGCATGAATAGAATTTGAAAGATTATTTATAAAAGTTAAAATTATGCTGCACAATTATGATTAATCTGTTAATCAATTAGTCATATTAAATCAAAAATTCAAATAATTTGGCAATTGACTTAATTGAAGTATAACTATTGATACTTTGTTATCATCGTATTGTATACAATTAATTATTAATTCATTTGATGTAAATTAATTTTATTCAGCTAATTTCAAGGATATTACACTCATGCTAATGTAGGTAGATTTCACATTTACATTCTATTAAACTGATGCGAGATTCATGAAATTTCACTAGCAGAGATTAAACATTACAATAATATGTATTATGTGTCTAACCAATAAATGAGATAATTCTGAAGACCAACTGATTATTTTCATCAATACTTAAATATTCTTCTAAATTAATATTTTAATATTGTAACTCTAAACAAATTAAATTATATAAAAATTATAATTAAATATATTTCTTTATGAATAATAACATTTTTTTCTATTTCCTGAAAAACTAAAAACAATATTATATAAATATAAAAATCAGTTTTACATTTTTTTTAAATAATTTATTAAATTTACATATTATATCAATAATAGATACAAGGAAAACCTTAAAAATGTTTTGTAAATTGACATTTTGAGTTCATTCTGTTTTTTTTTTCACAAAAAATATTGGGTTCAATTATATTAGGTTAAAAAAAAAAAATAAATAAGTACACAATAATAGTTTTAAATAAATGCGGTTTTTCATGTTTTTCATGTGGTTTTTCGTGATCTACGACTCTTCATTGTTGTAATACATTGGGGACAATACCATTTACCTTTTGGTGGATCTGTTATACCGACACATTCACAATGATACCATTCATATGGACACTGCAAGAGAGAATATTATTAATTTAAATAAACATACATGAAATAAGAGTGATGAATAAATGTTGTTTTCTTTTTAAACTTAAGCCTGGGGTGCCAATGTTATGTTGTCTACAAAAATACACTTAAAAGGAAGTCATACCAATATATGTTGTCTCTATCTTACTCAAGCACAAATTTTTGTTCACAATATTCAATAGTGTGCTTTTATTTTTTATATTTGAGGCTATTGACCTATTATAACATTCAAATGTAAGATCATTATCTAGGCCTCCCAAGAACGTTTTTATCGATATTATTAGTTTTAAGTTATGACCTTTTTGTATTATACATTTTAAAACAATCATAACTAACTTAAAAATAATAATATCAATAAAAGGCTATGTGGGGCCCTAGATAATAATCTTATTCTTAAATTGTATAATAGTCAATTAACTTTAATATCAGATCTAACAGCACACTATTGAATCTGGTGAACAAAAATTTGCTATATTGTACGTGTGTAAGACAGAGACAACACATGCAGGTATAAAGTCTAAATAACTGGAATAATAGTCCCAAATTATAGAACCAATCAAGTTTGAAATTTTTGTTTTAAACTAATAGAGGGGAATATTCCACAGGCTGCAGCACAATAAAGTCAGTTTTTTTATTTTTGAACCTTAAATTCAATTAAAAGACAGTTTTTAATTCTTTTCTTCAACAATTATACAAGGTCTGAGATTTTTAATTGTGAAGTAATTTTCGTGGTATAAAACATTATAATTTATATTTATTCCCCTAATAGGTATTAGGCAGTAGATTAATGGAGACATTTTAAAATGAAGGTGGCAACTAAAATATATAATATATTAATACATTATTTTCAAATTTCACAGCATTTTGGTAGGTCCCTTAAATTAATTTAAACTAGAATTAAACATTAAATTATGTTCAGTTATCCTAAATCGTTTGAATTCCTTGTGATAGTATGTATTATTTCCAGTTGATTAAACGCTTTAGAACTATTGACACTTGACAGGGATAAAATATGATTCAGCGTTAAAGTAAAATAAACTGTTTTTGGTCTAAACATCTATATAAATGGAAAAATCTTGAAGAGTCTGCGACATTAAAAGTAGTCTCTGAGTATTGCGACCCACACTCCTTACCTTATCTGATAGCCTAGGGATGCTCAACATAAATTGTTTTTTATTGCATTCAACAAAGCTACCACCATGCAACGCATATTGGGGACCACTGAGGTGCAACAGACACTAGTTATATAATGAATGATGGTTACATTATTTAATGTTATTAAGAGTTGAAATAATCTTAAAGAGCTCGCCAAGCAATAACATCCCCTGACGCTATAAAACTTAATGGCTTTACTCTACACGACGCCAAATCTTTATCTAAAACAATCACAAGCAACATATGGCTTCGGGCTTGGAGACTAGGTTCTACAAAACTGAACGAAATCAAAAACACTACTCTAACATGGCCCTCTCCACCGAACATATCTAGGAAAACAGAAACGGCAATCAACAGAATGCGAATTGGGCACTCATCGTTGACTCACCAACACCTGATGAAGAGGGAAGACCCCCCTATCTGCACAAGCTGC